TATAGAAGATTCACGAACATCTCTTTCCAGGTTTCCATATAAACTACATTGTGGCTTTTCCTCCCGAACGAGTCTCTAAAAATTATCACTTCAGTGGCGAGATGAGGGTTTGGTTATGGCTAGGTGGAAGATATGTAGGGGTGATGTAGGGTGGGAAAGAAGAATTTAAGGTGAAGATAGGGTTGGGTTATAGTGAATGCTAGAAACCCCAGGATATGATTAGGATTAGACTAGCTCTGATACCAAATGATGCCAGAGTTAAGAAAAAAAAATCTAAAAAGCAAAATATTGTTACTGAAAGCAAATATGAGATCACAACCAATTTACTTAAACATGAAATGATAACAGACTCGATACAAAAACTCAAATAGATGTAGATCTAGGGGTGGTGGAGGTTGGTTAGGTGGGTTGGAAGTAGGGTTGTTAACAATTTGATTTCGAGCCAAGCCGAGGTCGGCTCGAAAAAAATTCTAATCAATATTTTGGCTCGTAGCTCGACTCGTTTATTTCGATCCAAACCAAAATTTGAATCAATTTTCGAGTGATTAACGATCTTTGATCCAAGTTCGCTAAATTTGCAACCCAACATCACTAAAGTTGTTAACAATCCGATTTTGAGTCGAGCCGAGGTCGACTCAAAATTGGCTAAAAAAAATTCGATCTAAAATTTTGGCTCGTAACTCGGCTCGTTTATGTCAATCTTACCCAAAATTCGAATCAATTTTTGAATGATTAACGATCTTCGAGCTAAATTCACAGCCCTAGTTGGAAGTGGTGGTAGGTGGCTGGAATGAGTAAGCTGAGGCGTTGGAGGGTGGCAATTTCAACATGTGAGGTTTCTAGGCTGTGGATGGGGGACAGTAGGGTTTTTTGGTGGCTGGAACAACATTAAAACAATAAAGGAAAGGAGTTGTGGGGCTGCGACAATGATATCGGATGGCTGGCAGTGGTGAAACAACAAGGGAAGGAGTTGCGGGGCTGTGACAGTGATACCAGGCGGCTGGACAATGGTAGAACAACAAAGGGAAGAATTTTTTGTAATGCGACATCGAAGGGAGAGGGCTGGGATAGGTTTGGTAGCGAACTGGGAGGCATGGAACAACAACAACAACGAAGAGGAGGGAAAGAAAGTGATGAAGAAAATAAAAAAATACAGAAAACCACTGGGAACGACTATTTTGGGCGGCTGCAACAAAAGCGGGATGCGAGGCTGTGAAGCGGGGGGAATTCAAAGTTGGGGAAGGATAAACACCATCTCGTTAGCTAGAACGAGATACAACCGGAGCACCACTCGATCTTTGGAAGATAACTATCACTTCGGAAAGAGATACAAGTGAAACACCACTTGCTCTTGGATACAACTTTAGAAGGGAAAATAGGGATGCCGACGAGTGTTCTGACACAAACATAAATAAAACTGAACCCTAAAACATCCTGAAAGCAATATAATAAAAAAACTAAAAAAAAGGTACTAGGGGAGGACCCAACTCCCCGTGGTGGCAACCCTTGGCCAAAGAAGGGTCAACTAACCCCTCCAATTACTAAACCAATTTTTGATGCCTTGCATCATTCCGAGTCACGAGCGGTGCTACCAGACGCCAACAATAGGACATTTCCAAATTTTATTTTGAAATTTTTGGTATAAATGTGCGCTGAGATTTGTGCACGTCAATATGAATTTTAGGGACATATCAATATGTTTTTCTCTTTGACTTATTCTATCGTACACTGACGCGAGAGCTTAACGTGCCGCAGTCTATAGAACCACGATCCCTTTTTTTCTTATTTGATTCCTTGCTTTTTTCTATTCTCTTACAAGTTCTATTTTCTTCATACTCTAATTCATTCCTATTTTATGTATTAGCTATTTTATATGTGTAGTTTTGTTTACTTGGGGTTACGTTTTCATTAATTTCAGATTTCTTTTTTCTGTTAGGATAGCCTTTGACTTCGTTTTCCCTTTAGAGGGTTGTATTTGAGGGATTGGGTGGAGCCTGGTTGTATTTCTCTCCCATGGTGGTGATTAGCTTCCTCCTATTCTTTTTCGTATCCTTCCGCATTGCTTCCTGCTACCACACCTTGCTGCAGTTGCCTACAACAACACTCAATTTGCAATTTTCTACGGTCCTCATCCTACCAACCACCTTCCCCTCTATTCCAACATTGTTGTTACCCAAATTACACCTCCTTCCCGCTGTCTCAACCCTCCCACTTGACCGTTGCCGCCTAGGACATCCCGGGAACAACAGTCCCGTCGCTATCTGCCCTAAATCCTTACTGTCATCACCCAGGACAACCACCTACTTGGTGTCCCCACATTTCTGCACTTTCCCCTTGCTGCCACCCTCGGTAGCCATCCCGATCCATCTAGCCACCACTCTTTAGATATGCTTTAGTGGTGTTCGCTTGTGTCATTTTTTGCTTGTTATCAGTTATTTCCTGTTTGAAGAGTTGCCATTGTAAACCTATTTGAATTCAATAATAATATTTCTATTTTTATTTTGGTTTATGTTAACTTCAGTATAATTTGGTATCAGAGCTGGCCTAACTCAAGTTCTATCCTAGGGTTTCCTAGCATCTGCCTCTACCCAAGACACCACAAAAAAATTCCATTCATAGCACCCACCAAACCATAGTCAAATTTTGACCTAACCTTAATTTGTCGAAAAGCAGCAACCCAATTTATGTTTTCCACACATTCAATTAGTCTCATGCCTCTTTCACCTCCCAAGCCTAAACTATAGCCGCACCACCCAGGAGATACCTACCCTGGAAGAGATACACCAAGAGATCTGCCAAATTCAGCGGAAGCGTGCAGACATCGAGGATGAAACCTTGGGGAGATTACCCTTGACCGGAATTTGGCGGATCAAAGGGCAAAAAGGGACTAGGATTTGAATCCCTTCCATAGGGAGGACTTTAGTGACGCAGAAGACACAGTATTAGAGGAGGCCGAGATAAGAGCCAACCTATGAAGAACGAGAGAATTTGAAGATGAAACGAGAGATATAACACTACTTCCTACCAGCTTACTATAGACAAGATTCAAGTTCTAGCTTCAAAAGTGGAGAGACTACATCACCGGGCAACCACCATGTCCTACATGCAGTGCTTAACCTCGGGGTCTTACAACCAAATTACACCCACGAGAACATCCAAGCTGACCCTGTCAGAGAAAAGCTGTTAGAGTGAAGAACAGGTGGAACCAATCCACATTTTTAAAGCTGTCATAGCCAGAAAGTTTTGCAAGTGTCGCGGATTTGGATATATCAAATCGGACTACATAACCAATGGGGTGATCAGTTTCACTGAGCATGACATTCTTGAAAAAATGTGTAATGACACAATAGACGCTGAAGAAGATGATAACACAAAGAAGGACCACACGTTCCTAAAAATCTGAGTAATAAAACGTTGAGTCAGGATATTGCAATTTCAATATTTGTGTACTTTTTATTTAAAACATAAAACTCAGGGGACTTCCCTGAGATACAATAAATGCTGTTTCTCATTTTTGCCGTAGATTTGAGTATATTGTCTATGTACATTTCCACAAATCATCCAATACAAGGCCCATGGTCCATTTTTATTATACCTGGCAATAGGTAAAGGAACTTCTTAATATTCTATCTTCTGAACTCTACGCTCCCTTTTGACCCAAAGAATACTTTCTAACCTTTAAATAGTACCCGACTTCACCTTATTGTTATTACGTTGTCTTGAAAATTTTCCTGCACTGTGTATCTTTAATGTTTTTAGACTTAAAAAAAACTCATTGAATGCTACCTGCTTTCAGTGTATTCAAAATGAGCATAAGTTCCTTTTGCAAATTTTTACTTCTCTATTCTATTAAAATTTCTTCATCTTCTTCAGCAAGTTTAAAAGAGCTGTGATTCGGACAACAACTTGAAATAAGTTCTATTGATTGCACCTGAAACACATGCTACAATTTGGACTCCCATATGGTTGTTTTTTAATTGCATTCGAGTAATTGTGTGGTTTGTTATCATTTTTTAGTCCTATTTATAAAACTTGATTTGAGGTATTAATTTAGAATTCTTCTTGTTGATTAGCTCTGTAGTGTTTTGAGTAGTTCTTCTAAATTTACTAGAAACCATGTTAATTGATCTGTTTAATTGTTTAAATTTTTGGGGAAACATTTTTCTTAGTCCAAATATATTGGAGAGTTAGTTGTTCTTGAATATTTATCTTTAGGTCCCACATCAGGCATTGAAACAAAGTCCCTCTGATAAAGACCCTCAATATAGTCAGAAACTTCTTAAATTCTCTTACGACAATTTGGTATTGTAGATGCAAGAATAGTTCATAATTGAGTGGAAAGAATTATTGTAACAGTCATTTGATCATTGCCCATGTATGTGTACATTTTTCTTTTATTGTTGGTGATCAAGTTGCAATTGTTTCCGCCTAGATGAAGCTTCGCACTCAATTTGTAAGTCACCAATTTCACTTGATGGTCTTTGTGAAATTCCTAGTAATTGGCTATGAATCAACATTAGAAATTCAATGATGAAAATTTAAAACATGTCACTGTTATCTAAAGTTGGTAACTCCAGTCAACTCTTGAAATCTTGCCAAGTTTGGCCATATCTGTGGCCATTATTGGAATATACTACTCTTGGTCAGGTGAATCATTATCATTTCCTGACTTGGGATCCTTGCAATTCTCCTTCGTCATTGGGTTGTTATTGAAGAAAATAGTGGCTTTCATAAGGCCTCATGCGGATACCATGACAAAATTAAAAAGAAAACAATATACAACTATAATTTGATTTGGTATCACTCCTTTTCCTTCAGGCTTAGGTCTTATTTATGAGCCTGCCACCAAATAAAAGAAAGAAAAGAAAAAAAAAAGAAAATGAAAATTAAAAATTCACAAAAATAGAAAAATAATAAAATAAAATACGTATGGCTTGTTACTGCATCAATTTGTACTTGTTTTGAACATTCAAAGTGAATTCATGTTGTAATTATTTTAGGATTCAGGAGCAACAAATGTTAGCCTGAGTTATTTTTTGGATGAATTGATTGCAGAAGACGTGACAACAGGTGAACAACAGGTGAAAGTTTTTTTTTTTTTTTTTTTTTGGCCTCAGTCATGAATTGATCCTTGTTATTTTCTGCAATTTACTAATTACCAAATTTCTTAACTGTAGATGTGCATAAATTTCCATTTCTACACGCACGGATTTTTTCAGTAGTTTCCAAGTTTTCCTCCGTGGTAATAATCAGATATAATTTTATTACAAGAAACTTCGGGTGAGTTGTCATTGCTGAATATTCATATTTTTTGAGTGGAAACAGATTGGTCACACTACACGCGAGCATTTCCTATATGCTGCTGCACAAGCAATCGCTTCAGATGTGTAAGAACCACATGAGACATGTTACGTTTGGATTCAAAAGATCATAGCTGTTAAATTTTCTCTTTTTTGTCAGTCCACCACCTGTAAAAGTTGGTGCTTGTCAAGTTTTGTGTCAGCTCCTACCAGATGCTAAGTCTGAGCTGATTCAGCCTCGTATAATGAGTATACTTTCATCACTCATTGAGCTTCTTAAGCAGGTAGTTTTTCTCGAATATTCAATGTTAAAGTAATTAAGGTTTGCATGCGTTTTGCCCAATTCCTATTTATTGACATCTCTAACACCTAAACTTCGATTTTTACATTTATACCACCCAAATCTTTCATATCACATAGAATATACCACTATTTTAACTTTTAAAAAGTGAAAAACACCTTTTCATACATAGGTAATTGTTATGCAGGTAAAAATTGAAGTTTAGGTGTTCGATATGTAAATAGAAAGGAATTGAGTGGTATGTAAGTAAATCTTTCAATTAAGTTTCATCAAAACCACAAAACGAAGAACTTGAAGATTGAGTGGTATGCAGGTAAAAATTGAAGTTTAGGTGTTAGATATGTAAATACTTAGGAATTGAGATGTATGTATATAAATCTTCCAATTAATTATTATTAAAACAATAAAACTAAGAACTTCGAAGAATAATGAACAATATTTCTATGGCTTTTCTTCCTGAGAATGCTTATATTTCACTGTCCTTAGAATGTATATGTTCCAGGCATCTGATGAAACTCTACATCTTGTGCTTGAAACACTTAAAGCAGCTGTTAAGGCAGGTGTGCAACTTGTTAGCTTGTTTTTTATGCTCTTAATTTTTGGACAACTTCTCTTTTTTACTTTTTTTGGAGTTCTGGTTGAGCTTTCATTTATGAACTTTTTTGTTTAACTTGTTAATACGTCTGATGACTTTCTTGAGTGTAGGCCATGAACTATCAAGATCCTTGGAGCCTGTTATTTCTCCTGTCATGCTTGATGTCTGGGTACATCATATTTCGGATCCATTTATTAGTATTGATGCCTTGGAAGTTTTGGAGGTACCATATCCAGATGATGATGTTGAATTCAAACATATCTTTCATACTTGGCATGAATTTACGCCTGTAGAAAATTCTTTTACACTATTATAGATTTGTTTTGTGTTTCAGACATTTGCTATTGCATTAGTTGCACGGTTGGAAGCAGCTTTTGTTATTGTTTCTGTAACTGAAGAGCTACCATTTTTTGTGTTGTTGATGGCACTTAAATTTTTGTGCTATGAAGTTATCGCAAAGCTCATTAATGCATGCACGAAGAAAAATCACATTTATTAAGAATATTTAGTAAAAATAACTTATTAATAGAAGTCCATAAAACATATATTATTTACCGTAGCAGAATAATTTAACAAATCCTTCATAACAATGACCCATTAAATAGGTGATACACTGTTTATTATGTGATGCAGTACAAAATGTTTGTGGGTCTGAACAAAGACAATTTACAGCCTTTTGCATGCCTTGTTGGTGTAGAGAGTCATGCTAGTGGTTCTGCTAACCTCATGCCTAGAAAATTTTTGTTTTGTTTTACTGGAACATTTGGCTTATCATTTCAGCCTTTGGTATGGTCTACCTTTTCTATAAATTCCCTGGGAAGACCTACATTTCAAGAATGTTTATTGAAGGGCATGATGACTGTATAAATCTACTGAAACTCTGCCACAAGCAATATTGATACCAGAGTTGATTCAAACCACAGTAGGAATAATAAATATTATTACTGAAAGTAAATAGGTGGTTACAATCAAACACACTTGAAAGAGAAATTACAATAAACACGACACAAACTCATACTAAAGCTCGATCCATGGGTGGTGGCGGTCGGCTCGATGGTTGGGGAGCGGAGTAGGTGGTGAAATGGGTTGTGGGTGGTTCGGACGGCAAAAGGAGGGGCTGAAATTGCATTGGCAGCGAAGCGGAGGGCTGGGACAACAATGAAATGGTTGGAAAGGGCGGTCTTGGATTGCGGCAGCAAGGGAGGACAACGGCGGCTGCAAGGAGAGGAGTTGAGGCAGTGCTGCATGCTGGTATGAGGGAAACGAAGGGCCGGGCAGCTGGAACAATAGAAAACAGCCAAGAACGCTGTATCCAGGTGGTGGCAGCGAGCGGGAATGACGGCGGCAGCAGCGGAGAATGCTTGGGACTGCAGGGTAGCGTAGATGGTGATAGCTAGACGGGGAGGGACTGCAGGAAGAACCACAGCAGTGGCTGCAGCAAGGGAGGGCGGCCGGGAGCGACGTTAGGAGGATGTGAAAGGGAATAGAGAAGATAATGACCATCTCCGGAGAGAGATACAACCGAAGCATCACCCAAATCCTCAAATACAGCCCTCGAAGGGAGAAAACAGACACCTACAACTGTCCCTAATTAAACTCACTTAAAAATTAAACCTAGAAAATCAGAAAGCAAATATGTAGTAAGAGGATAGCGAGGAGTGGCCCAGGATGGCCGGCCGACTCCACCACAGTGAAAGAACCTAGACTGGTTTGGTCCATACATGAAAACAAAGCTCTCCTGGTCACGGGACTGCAGCATATATTGGAAACGGCTAGTAGCTCCCATGTCAGATATGGTCGTATGTTTCCTTATTCAAATCTTTAACGTGGAAATCCCTTTTTTTCTTGGGAGCGCAGAAGAGAGTTTCTATTCAATAAAACTTTTCTCAATAATATTTGATTTTTCTAATTTTGAGGCATTCAGCAAATCTAATGCCCTGGAATTTGATACATTGTATTTATTCTTTGTGGATGGTTGATTAGATCTATCTTTTCTTCTGGTTTTTTATGCTTCATTCAAGAATTACATACAAGGATTCAGTCTTGTCTTGGCAAGAGCTTTTTTTAAACGATGATCTGTAATGAAAAAAAAAAACTTATTTTAAAAAATTGGGTTATATAAAAGTCCTGAACACTATACCCTGCCAGTGAGTTAATTTGATTTAGTGATGGATTGTGTTTTCCTAAACTTATTGAAGTAATCATATTGCTTTCTGCGTATCTGCAGCTTCTATTATTTTATTGCCGGTGACATTTGATTGCATATTCTGGGTTTGAGGGACTAGCTTATTACCCAGATTAATTTGATTTAATTCTTTCATGTAAACAACTTTATTATTACAGATTAACTTTCTAGTTTTCAGGCTATCAAAAATGCTCCTGGATGCATGCAGCCTCTGGTCACCAGAATCATACCGTCCATTGCTTCCATATTAGAAAATGTGAGTTTTTTAAGATTTCTAATGACAAATCTTTACTAGTCTAAGCTCATTCAACTCTAGCTTAATTTTATTTTACATATACTTTTGTCAGCCAAGGAACCAGACGGGTGGATTGCTTGCAGGTTCATTTGATCTTTTAACAATGATATTGAAAGTATGGTTAAAGTTCTACAGTCTTTTTTTTAACTTTTGGTACTGCTGTTTGTTGCCTGTTATATTTGCATCTTGTGCCAATTATAATTTTTTATTTTTTCTTTTCAGGGTGCGCCTGTTGAAGTTGTAAAGGCTGTTTTTGATAATTGTTTTAATTCTACCATCCAAGTAGTGCTTGAAACTGATGATCACGGTGAATTGCAGGTCTTTACCGAACTCTTTTTGGTGCAGCTAATATTTTTACTTTCTTAGCTTCAACCACATCCAATGATCCTAAAGTGCGAGGCTAATACCAACATAAAAAAATAAAAGATAAAAATAATAATAATAAAAAACCATTCAATTATCCTAAAGGCACGTCCATTTTAAATGCATGATGCATAATCATTAATGCTTGCTTCTCTCTCTGGATTTTGTAACCAGAATGCGACAGAATGTCTTGCTGCATTTCTTGCCGGTGGAAAGCATGAGTTGCTTTCCTGGAATGGTGATCCATCATTTACAATGAAAAGGCTTCTTGATGCAGCTTCAAGGTATGATTTATGGAAAGTTTTCGTATTTCTTAGGAGTCTGGAAACTCTTTCTTTGAACTCCTTCATTTTGGGTTGTATCCATATTTTTTTTACTCATCTTTTCCGGCTGTAATTGTTATCATTCATGTAGGGCATGGGCTGACATTTAAAATTCCCCAAAAACTGTTAGTTTAAGCTTGATGTTATCTGAATTCTTAAGATTTGATAGTGGTTATGTTTGTCTTTGGTGAAACCAAAACGCTATGGAAATATTGTGCCTTATGCCCCCTCCACACACACACACACACACACACACACAACGAAGCTAAGAACCGTTTGGTTGTTGAAAAAGAAATGCAGTGTAAATTTGTGTTTGAAATATTTTGAAGTTATTTGGTTGAATGCAAAATAAATGCAAGACTGTACCTTTTCTTTTTTGGTTTGAAGAAGAAATGAATTCAATGTAAAACACTCCTGTCAACGGCGACTAAGGTCTGCAGAGTGGGTGACGCGGGAGGGGGCTGTTTTAGCATTTGGCCAACCCTAGGTGGGGTTGGTTTTACCGCTCAAGAGGAGGGGCTTCCCCCTCCTTACTTATCTACTATTATAGATAGGCCCTTTGTTTTGTTTAGGATTATTTTTGGTGTGTTTTATGTTAGGACAACTGTCAGCTTCCTCCGTTTTCCCTTTTAGGGTTGAATCTGAGGACAAATGGTGCTCTGACTGTATCTCACTCCGAGGTGGTGATTATCGTCCGCTTTACCATCCCACAACCTCCTCCTTGCTGCCGCCCTTCACTCCCCTTCCTGCTTGCTATAGTTCTTCCGCCATAGTCCCCCATCTCCCTTGACCAACTTGCCTCCCTGTTCTGCAGTTCAACCACACATCCTCCCTTTTCCTCTTGCTGTAGCCTAGTCACAGCCACCTTCCCTCTTTTCCGTCGTCCAACCACAATCCCCACTTCTTTCTACCCCCTTACCATAGCCTATCACCATCCTACTGCTTTCTACCTACTGCATCCAAACCACAATTCACCTAATCCCTGTTACCCTCCTAGCCACACTTTACGCCACCCTAACCCTAACTGTCCTCCAAATGCATCCCTATTTTGCCCCAATTGTAGTCGTTGTTGGCAGCTTCCTCACCACCCCGATCGACGCCCTAGTTTTGTGTTGTGCCGTTGTTTTTTCCAGTTTTCAAGTGTCTTGTTTGTAACTTTTTTAAATTTCAGCAATAATAATTGCACTTCTATTATGGCTTGGGTTAACTCCGGTATTATTTGGTATCAGAGCTGTCTAACCTAGTCTTATCCTAGGGTTTCCTAGCATCCACTTTTCTTTTCCAAATCATAAACAAACTTTTACCTAACCCTAATTTTGCCTTGTTGATTTTTAAAATCAACAACCATAAATCAATCTTTACACTTTCTTTCACCTTCAAACTCCAAGCCCTAACTATGTCACCAAGGAGATAAATGGTCGAGCCAACCCGGGAAGAGGGACAACGAGAGATCTGTGGACTTCAATGAAGACTGGTGGACATTGAGGATGAAACCCAGGGGAGATTTACCCTCAATGGTGATAGGAAAAGTTGAAGAGGCGAAAGAGAGAAGAATTTCAACCCCTTCCGTTGGTAGGATTTCGGCGATGAAGAAGATAGACCACAACGTTTTGAAATTTAGTATTAGAGGAGACCACATATGGAGGACACAAGGACTTTGAAATAAAGGTGGATTTACTAGAGCTTGATGGAGCTATGTATTAGAAGACTTTATTGAATAATGGTGGATTTACCATGATATGTTTCTGAGACTCCACAACCTGTAATAGATAAACCTCTAAGTGGAGGAGTTCACAGTGCAATATCACCAGTTGCAGATGAAGTGTGATTTGGTCGAGCCAGAGGAACATAGCATAGCTCATTATGTGGAGGACTTGAAGCCCGTTATTATCAATGTGGTATAGTTGTAGCCTTATTTGTCACTAGGAGATGTCCTGACCTTAGCATTGAAAATGAAAATGCAACAAAAACAGAACAGACAATCACAATCAGTCAAGCAACCACTCATAGTTGGAGACACTAGCAAAAGCATGTCCCGGAAAGCTGAGAAAGTTGGTTCGGATAAGGACAAAGCCACCCCAAGTGAGAAGAAACTCGAGAAGAGTAGCACATCTACTATAGATCCTGCCAGAAAATACTTCTAATGCCACATATTTGGGCACATTACCTCCAACTGCCTGACGAGCCGAGTTGTGTCTTTTACATAGTAGGGCGCCGTTGAGGAGGTTGGCGACGGAGAGACAACTGAGGAACAGGGTGAGGTGTATCATCTTCCACCGGATGAAGGAGAGACGCTTGTGGTTTGACGGGTCTTACAGATCGAGGATACGGGAGATTCGCAGTGACTTCGTCACAATATATTCTACTACCACTGTACTGTGAATGAAAATGTATGCAATTTCATCATCGATGGATGGAGCAGTAAGAATGTGGCATCTTCATAGATAGTGGAGAAGTTGGGCTTCATGTCTAAGAGGCACTCCCAACCATATTCTTTGATGTGGCTGAAGAAGGAGAACTGTGTCAGCATTGATCGAAAATACTTGGTAGAGTTTTTGATTGGGAGTTAGCTGCAAGATTGATTGTGTGATGTAGTACCCATGGATTTTTGTCACCTGTTGTTGGGGAAACCACAAAAATTTGACTGTTGGATTCAACACAATCGATTCAGAAACACCTACTTATTCACCAAGGAGGGGAAACACATCATCTTGCTTCCTAGTTTTGTGTGTCGTTTTAACTGTATTCAAGTGTCTTGTTTGTCACCCTTTTCAATTGCAACAATATTAGTTGTATTTCTATTGTGGTTTGGGTTAACTCCGGTATTGGTGGGGTAGCTGGCAGGCGACATCTGCGGGCAAATTGGCTGTGGGCAGAGGGCTGTGTGGTGGACTCCATGCGGTGATTGGTGGTTGGCGGTTGCTGGCATGGGTGGAGTGTTAGGAGTTTTTTTTGTTGGCATGACATTTTTGGAATTCACTCAAATCTAACGAATCTCAAATACATTGAAATTGAATTAGAGCATAAGTTATAAATACATTGTAATTTTACACAACATTTATTATTCTTTTGACCAAATACTTGGATTTCCAAAACTCATGTCAAGGACTGCATTGCACTACTTTTCTTGCCGAGCAAACAACCACTAAAAGCTTTAGCAAATTTTGGAGTTGAGAGCAACTTTGGTTAATAAAATGAATATAACTAACATTAACTTCCAATTGATCTCTTTAATTATGAAAAATGTGTTGAAAGTACTGAGGTTGACATCTTTTTTTGCCAGTTTTTCTAATGACTTGTTTATGACGTCAACTTAAAGCAATTTATTGATTGACTGCTGGTTGCACATTTCTCATCTTAGTATTAGAAAATTTTTTTCTTCTTGAAGAGATAGGAAGAAGGAATGATAAAATGGAAAATTTTTATTATTAACCGGTCAATGTAGCTTTCATACACTTGACAATCATCCCCGTGGGAATATGTAAATGGTGCAACTTCTGAATTTTTCGAAAGTTAATTTTGTTTCTTTTCTTGGACCTGGCATTTTAATGCTTCATCATGGCTTTCACTATTTAGAACTTAGATTTAATAGAGTTCAGATTTCTAGATATTCTTACCAAGTGTAGAAATGGGTAATGAATTCTTACTGGCTTATTTGGAAAACCAAATGCTTGTTGGTCTAATTTAATTTCTTATAAATGTATAGCTTGAAAAATGTTTTTTTTTATCAAGTAATGCATCAATTCTTTTTTATCTATTGTACAGTTGAACTTCAGCCTCTTATGTTCATTTTTCCAAACACATGGATATCATCTTTTTGTTTAATTTTGTGTTTGCTTGATGCTAACACATGGACAACAAAAGAAATGTATGTGCTTGATGCTTACATTTGGACAACATCTTTTTATTACTTTCCGAAGAGCTTAGTGGTTACTCGATTATTTATGTTGAACTTATTGGAGCTTTTATTTGTTGCATGCTGAATAATAAAGTTTTTTTATCCCTGAACAATTGTCATTTTTCATTGATACTTGTGAATCTTGTGATATAGTATGCGAATTGATTTAGATTTGCATTGAAAATGTCAAGTCAAATCAATTATGTGGGTGTGAAGTCAGAAAAAAGCTGGTGATTTATTGGAGAAGCCAAGTGATGCGGGCCAGGCCTTCCCTCCCCCTCTTATTTCCTATTTCTATCCAATTCGAATTCATTCATATTCTATTGTTTGCATTTTCTATCCCCTTTCATACTTTTATTCCTTTCCAATTTAATTCCTCTCTATAAAATTGCCTACCTATTCTACCACCTTGGACCTCTATCCCAATTCCAAATTCTTTCCTATTTCTTTTGCTAAAATCCTTTATATAATGCTGTGTTCGCCTAGGGTGAGGAGGCTTTTTGAGGATTGCTGATTTCAGTTGCTGCCTCTGAGGTGTCTTCCCCTTCTGAGACTGTACCCGACGACGAAAAAATGTTTTGACTGTAACTCGTCCGAAGTGGTGACCATCTCTAAGGTTCTGGGTGGTGTTCCGGTTGTAACTCAACCCCATAGCCCCCTCTGGCCCTGCTTGCAGCAGCTGCAAACCATCTTCTCTGCTGTCATCCAGAGCTCCAACTCCCTTGTAACAGCTGCAAGCCACCTTCCACCCATCTTCACGCCGCTGTCCAAGCCACTGGGCTTTTTTATGCTACCGCCATGCCCTTCCAGGTCTTGCTGCGGCCAACTCTCCAGGGTCCTTTCCTACTGCTGCCCGACCCACCGACACCTGTTCCTGTGGTCGTCTAGTCCACCTTGACCTTGTCCAGTTGTTGTCCAGCCTTTGGACACCAATTCCTGCCGCTATCCAGCCCACCACCACTTGCCTGCTACTATCCAGGGCCACTGCAACCCCTCTCTAGTTCCCTTCCACTCACTACACAGGTGTCCCGACCTTTCCTTGTTGTCGACCATAACTCGAGCC